GGGCGACGGCTGCTGCCGAGAGGCGAGCGGAGCGCTGACGAGGACGCGGGCGGTGGCGGCGCAGCAACGAACAGCCTCCGCTCCAGCTCCGAGTGTTGTTATCGGAAGCTCCGCCCCATCACCCACCCACCTCCCCGCGAAAACCCAATCAGAACCCGACGGGGCACGCCACGCCCGCGGCCCCGCCTCCAGCGCCTCGGAAAGACACACGCACACAAACAAGCATCTTGCTGCAGCGGGGCACAAAGAGCGCGCACTGCGCAGGCGCTGACCGCCGGCCCTTCGGGAAGAGTGGGCCCGGCGAACAATGAGGTTCCGCTCGCCCCACCTCCCCCGCCCTTTTCCTTCCTCTCCCCGCACCTCGCCTTGCAGGCAGAGGTCAGGCTGAGTTTGGGATGGACATGCGGGGTTACGAGGTTGGGGGGCGAGAGGAAGGGAGAAAGAATACGGAAGCACCAAGGCCACTGACCTTGGAGAAGTAATGTATTATTTCCAGCCCATTATCGGTTTGGGTTTTGTTGTTTTTTAAGATTTCAAAGTACATTATGGGGATTTCTTTCCTAGCAACCGTGAAGAAAATCAGTCGTGGTTCACGTTCTTTTCCATTTACTCGGCTGAGCAACGCTGCTCGTTAGCCATTGGTAATCGGAGTAAGAATTAAGGGGGTGGAATTAAGTGATTGAAATCTGCCCCTTAATAGAGAAAAAGTTTTCCATAAATCCGTAATTGGGCGTTGGGAATGTTATTGCCTTCGTACTTGAAGGACTGTGAGACTTTGGGATCGCAGAACGCCGCCTGAGAGCGAATAGGAAGCAATGGAGGAGGCTTGCGTCCCCGAGAAAGTGAAACAGCTCTGCAGCACAGTGTTCTGCTCTGTTTGTAAATAGAAACCTCGCTCTCATCAGGTCCCTGCACTGTGCTCGCTCACACACACACACACACACACACACACACACACACACACACACACACACGAACTGTGGCGACTTAAATAAGAGCTAATGTGCCAGGAGCTGTTCTTTACGTAAATTATCTCATACAAATCGCACAACGCTAAGGAATAGCTCCTCGTTTTATAGGACAGGAAACAGGTTTAGAGAGGCAAAAAGTACTTGTCAGACATCATACAGTAAATTAATATCAGAACTTGAACTCCAGTCTAGGTTTGGCAAGAACAGAGATTTAACATCCATACTGCCTGCCATACTAGATGGTAGGTTTTTAGAACGTAATAATCTTAGAAGTCTCTGTATCCTCAGTTTCTAACCAATACTTTTCAGCTTTGTAGTGCTTGATAAGTGTTTTATAATTAACTAGAGACTCGGTGCATGAAATTCGTGCACTGAGGTGGGGGTGGGGGGGATCCCTCAGCCTGGCCTGCGCCCCCTCGCAGTCCAGGAGCTCTGGCGGGGGTGGGGGGTGGTGGTGTCAGACATCCTTGGGAGAGGCTCCCGCCACTGTCTGTCGCAGCGTTTGCCAGCAGTGAGCCTGGCTCAGGGCTTCTGGCTGAGTGGTGCTCCCCCTGTGGGAGCACACTGACCACCAGTGGGCAGCTCCTGCGTTGAGTGTCTGCCCCTTGGTGGTCAGTGCACATCATAGCGACTGGTGGTTTGGCCATTCGGTTGATTTACATATTACCCTTTTATTATATAGGATGTCAAGGTTTGGCAGCAGTGATATGCATAATAATGATTCTCAATTAACTTTATATAAACTTTTAATACTATAGCCCATCATTAATGATTGTTGGATTTTATCATATTTGCTAGATTTACTCATTTTTTTTGTGTTTCCAACGCTTAATATATAGTAAGTGCTTCTGTTCATTGGATGAATGGGAATCATATACTTCAAGAGCTGTAAAAGATCTTAGAGAACCTTTAATTCAAATTTTCTGGTCTACAAATTGAATTAGGACCTGGTGAGGAGAATGGCCTGGCAAGAGTTGGTGAAGAGTAGACAAAGATTATGAAACCTTTGGAATGAGTTAATTCTTTTGTTTTTAACAGTTTCTACTTTTTCAAGGCACTTTTCATCTCTTCTCTCATTTTATTCTAATCTAAAGGATTACTCTAATCCTAAAAAATAGGTTGAGATAGGTTCTATATAAAATACACATAATGTTTAAAAAGCCACTAAAGATGAGGTACCTTGGCTAAGGGTTACACAGTGAGTTGGGGACTAAATCACTTGAACTCTTAATGCCTAGTCCAGTGCTCTTTTTACTATATCCCAAGGCCTAAGGTTTGACTTTATCTAGGGGTAACATCACATTGTCCTGGGGAATAATTTATCTTCCAGGGGCTGTTAATTGCAGTCAGTTCAGTGAGGCCCTTAATCAAGGACACCTATTATTGTAAGTTATTGTGTGTGGTATTTAGTGTATTCTTTTGAGGCCTGAATGGTAGACTTCCTGTTAGACCCTGGATTCTGTACTTTAAGAAAGGTAACCTTGCGAGAGCATTTGAAATCTTGCTTCCCAGCATATGTCCTCAATTTGGCTCAAATAAACTTTTATAAAAAAATATTTTTAAAAAGAAGAAAAAAAAGAAAGGTAATCTTACCACCTGGATAAATGGCACTAAAATGGTTGCCACCAAGAGACCGTGAGCTGGAATGGACTGCCAGAAGAGAGCAGTCCAGGTTTTATGAATCAGATTATTGGATTTTGTGTTACTCTTTGTCTCTAATTCCTATAGGCCCTTAGTAAAGTCTCATTTTAATATTCAGACCTGGTTTCATCTGTGCTATATGATATAAAGAAAAAGGTCCGATGTTCTTGTCTGGGCCCGAAGGGCCAATCATGGAGGTAGCAAGACATTCAAGGCTGAAGTAAATCTTGGGCAGTCCTCAGGGCTCTTGAAGCTTTTGGCTCCAGAGCATGCCTTGGTTTTACTTTTGTTAATTCAACAGTTTCTTTAGAGGAGTTTTTTTTTGTTTTGTTTGTTTTAATTGAAAAGTAAACCATGTATTAAAGAGTGGGGAAAATGAGCTAAAGACACCCGAGGACTCAGGCTAAGATATTCAGAGGAAATGGAATGGTGCACATGGGAATACAATCCTGGGACTTGGTGACTGACAGCATGAGTCTAATGGAGAGGCCAGAGCAGGTCGAAGTATTAGGGTGAGGTGTAAGAAGAAGGCAGAATAAAAGAGATGGCTCTCAGACTTTCAATCTGGTTCATTTGGAGAGAAATGATAGCCTTGACAGGAATATGAAAATCCAAAAGGGTAATTTGAAGAGAAAATTTACTTCCGTGGTTTAGTAAGGATTTATTTTTGATGTTCTTAATTTTAAAGTCAAATTATTTGCTAATTTTATTGTCTCTCAAAAAACAAAAGAACCCCAAATAATTAAGTTGTTTTTTCTTGCTTATGAACCCCTGATAGAAGAAGTGTTCTTACTCTTGTTCAGTATGAAAACATGGAAATCTGTTTGCCTCCATGGAAATCACTGCTTCCAATCTGTTTACCTCTGGCTACTTCATTTGGCATTTTCAGAAAATAAGACTTAAACTACTTACAAGAAATTTAAAATAAATTAAGGAAAATGGAACATTTCCGTAAAAATGAAACATCGAGTGTCAAATCTCCTCTATTTTTCAGGTCCCGGTATAGTCTATTTAATCCTGTTCTTCTGGTCAGCTAAAATCTCATGAGAAAAACAGCATGTTTCCTTTTTAGAAAATACTGCAGTGCTCCAATTTTTAAAAAAATGTTTTTATTGATTTTTAGAGAGAGAGAGGAGGGGAGGGAGAGAGAGACAGACAGAGAAACATTGATCGGCTCATTGGCTGCCTTCCTTTGCATAATATAGCATGGGTAATATTGCATAGGAGTATCAGAAACTGCCTCATTGGAAACAACTATTTAAATAAAAACCTGGGTGTAGGCTGCATCTGCACATGCCCAGCATGATGAAGCACACTGAGACCAACCATGGGGACAGCTTCTGGCACTCACGCCACAGGGATACATCTGCCACATGGACAGGAAAGCGAGGGTGAAGGAGGGCGTGAGGGGGAAGAGAGGAGTGTGGCTCAGTTCTGGTTCTGGAACTGATTGGCCAGCCAGTCCAGTCCCTCATAGAGCCCAGCCCCAGTGATGGCAGAGGTGGCCTGAAGGTACCAGTTCCTGTGGTGCAGAGAGTGCAGGCCCAGCTTGTCTGTGATCTCAGCTGTGTTCATGGCATTGGGGAGGTCCTGCTTGTTTGCAAGCACTAGCAGGACAACATCCTTAGGCTCTGTCATCATCCGCATCATCTCCTGTCTGGCCTCGTCCATGTGTTCCTGGTCAGTGCTGTCAACCACAAAGATGAGCCCTTGTCCATTTGGGCAGCAGTGGCGCCACAGAGGCCGGATCTTGTCCTGGCTGTTCGCGTCCCACACGATAAAGCTGATGTTCTTATACTTCACAGTCTCCAGGTTGAAACCTATCGTGGGAATGGTGGTCAAGATCTCACCCAACTTCAGTTTGTACAGGATGGTGGTCTTCCCAACACCGTCCAGGCCCACCATGAGAATGCACATTTCTTTTTTGCCAAAAAGGCCCTTGAAGAGGTTTGCGAAGATATTTCCCATGCTGTAGACCAGAGGGAGAGACACTGGTCAGAGAAACCCTTGGCAGCCACAGTGCTGCTGCTGCTGCTACTGCTGCTCTGAGCCAGAAGCTGGTTCTATTTTGTCACTCTTTAGCAGATATTTGCTGACCCTTATTCTAATTCTTTTCATTGCTGTGACACTTGATCTGTCACTACCCATTAACTCACTATTTAAAGTTCAAAGTCCAGAGCAAGTGACTGGTGCAGTTTCAATTGGTCTAGATTAGATGATTCGTCACCATCATCCTGGTTCAACAACTGTTTTACTGGACACTCCTCTGGGTGGCTGTTTTACTACACTCCTCTGGGTGGCACTTGGCTAGGATGATGAGACAGGGGGCAAGGCACCGATCTATAAGGAGTCTTGCGGATCACTTCAGGGACCACTTCAAGAAGTTTGGCCAGCGCAGTACTTTGCACAACCTATCTCCCAGGCACAGAGCCTTCTTTTTGTCCCTGCAATTCTAGGAATCCAAGGGAAGTGAGGCCTGTGGAAACTCTGGGAATCTCTGGCTTTTCTTGGAAAGTTGGATTTCTCTCAACACTGCCCCGTCATCCCTGATGAAGCAACAATTGACTGGAACAATTTAAAGAGGTCTGTGCTCATCCAGCTCATTTCACTCTTTACTTACCTGACTCTCTACGCAAATCAGCTTGAAACTCCTCCAGAGATTGGAGGTAGTGAGACAAATGGCAATCACTTAGCAGTGAGACACCTGAAGACGCAGGCTAAGATATTCAGAGGAAATGGAATGGTGCACATGGGAATACAATCCTGAGTCTTGGTGACTGACAACATGAGTCTAGTGGAGATAGGCTAGAAGTATAAAGGTGAGGTGTAAGAAGAAGGCAGAATGAAAGAGATGGGTCCCAGACTTTCACTCTGGTTCATTTGGAGAGAAATGACAGGAATATGAAAATTCAAAAGAGGCAATTTAAAAAGAAACTTTATTTCCATGGTTTAGTAAAGTTTTATTTTTGATGTCCCTAATTTTAAAGCCAAAGTAATTGCAAGTTTTGTTTGTCTCTCAAAAACAAATGA